AAAATTTTACATTTTATATCCTTCATTTACTTTAGCATTTACTTTTTCCAGAGTAAACAAAGTGAAAACTTTTATTTTACAACACTTAAAAAAATATTTTTGGCATGTTTCTGTTAGGTTGTTTTTTTAACTTAGAGGAAATTATAAGGGTAAAAGTAATGAATTATCATAGCGAATAAGGAGGCAGCAAGTAATGCCTTTTTCTTCCCCATTTTTTTGAAAACCAACTAATTACTATACATATTTGTGGGTACAGTGGAAAGCTTCCATACATGTACTCACTGTGGAAACAGCAAATCAAGCTAATGTACATAGCTATTACCTCACATACTTTTCATTTCTTTATGGTGAGAGTATTTGAAATCTACCCTTTCAGCAATTTTGAACTACACAAATCTTTGCTATTAACTATACTCACCTTGCTGTGATCTATGGATCACCAGAACTTATTCTTCCCATCTGAAACTCTGCACGCTTTGACTAACATCTCCCTGAGCCTCTGATAACCACTATTCTACTCCGTTTTTGAGTTGACCTTTTTTAGATTCCAAACAGAAGTGAGATCATACAGAAGATGTCCTGTGCCTGGCTTACTTCACTTAGCAGAATGTCCTCTAGGTTCATCCATGCTGTCACAAATGACAGAATTTCATTCTTTTTCAAGGCTGAATAGTATTCCATTGTGTATATATACCACATTTTTAAAATCCAATCATCTATTGATAAACAGTTAAATTTTCTTTTCTTTTTTTTTGTTGTGGTTTTTAAATAAGCCTAAGCTTTTTCTCAGATTGTTTTCTTTCTTTCTTTTTCTTAAACAACCCTGTGCTTTACTGAGGTTGATTCCTATCTTGGCTATTATAAACAGTTATGCCAATGAACACTGGCAAACAGACATCTCTTCAAAATATTGATTTCAATTCCTTTGGATAAATACCTAGCAGTGGGACTGATAAATTCTCTTAAGGAAAGCATGCTTCTCTCCATGATGTCTCCCTTAAAGGTTAGGGATTTTTCAGTCATCCTCAAATACATCCCCTGTCACTTAAAGCTTTCCCCAAATGGGTTTAGGATTTGATCAATAAAACCATGCTTAGTTTCTTTTGCAACAATTTTTTAAAACATCTTAAGTTTAAAAACTTGAAAAACTGCGAGATTAAAAAATCTAGAACAATAACAAAACGACTAATGGACACAAAATACAGGGGAGGATAAAAGCAAGGAACAAAAAAACCCCCCCAAAACCTCAACCCCAAACCAGAAAGCTTAAAATAAAATGACAAGAATAGAGGTTAGTAATGTGATAATCCTAAATAAAAAAATGAGTGAGTGAGTGGGTAGTCAGTGAACGAGGGAAAGTCCCCTGTTAAATACTGTCAGAATGGGTACAACAATAGAACCAAAAAGAAAATTCAGGATTCAGATACCTTCTTCACCATAGGTGGGGTGACCTTCTATACAGCAAATGTAATCAACAGTATTTTAACTGTTCCTTTTCTCTGCCTAAATTCCTATAATAGCCTTTAGGATGAAGTCCAAACACTTCAATGCCCTTCAAAACCTTGTGTGTTTCTCTAACATGGATGCCTTCCAACTAAACACTATTTAACTGAGTA